CCCCGGCACAGGCGAAGAACCCACGCAAGCAAGAGCCGATAAACAGATCTTGTGTTTATTTTCAAGAAAGTTATAATTTTTATTTTTCGTTATTTGAATTCATTTGTAACGACTAAAGTTTAATGAAATCAATGATGAAGACAGCTTTCAACGAAAACAGCAATATAGCGTCAACAAAAGTGTTACTTTTAGTGACACAAACTAATGTGTCGCTGAAAGTTGAAATTTTAATTTAGCTTCCATAAAAAATATACTTTTGTCGACTAATTGCATCGGCAAAAATAATATCTTTTCTGTCAACTACAAACCTACACTGAACTTGAACATCCACAAAAAAAAATTGCTCTCATTCACATCAACAAAGAAACAAAACATCAAATTATACTCCAAACAAGTTGCATATTATGATAAACAAAGAATTTGCTCTCATTGCAAAACAAAACATCAAATTATACTCCAAACAAGTTGCATATTATGATAAACAAAGAATTTGCTCTCATTGCAAAACTAACCAAATTATACTTCAGACAATCCATAGCATATTATGATAAACAAAGAATTTGCTCTCATTGCAAAACTAACCAAATTATACTTCAGACAATCCATATTGACTCGCAATGATCTAAAGAAAAATAATAAAAAATTTATTGTATCAAATAAAAAAATAAATACACATCTTAATGGACTAAAAATAGTTACATTCATTTTTATTTCCAAGTCAACACTCAAAGTCCTGTTAAATATTCCAGTTTGCTTATAATCCATGAAGAGAAAAAAGAAACACAATGGAAAGAGAGGAAAATGTGAAAGAAAAGAAAGAAGGGAACAATTGTTTAAATATTCCAGTTTGCTTATAACCTCATGACAAATTGCTCTCTGCTTTCAAAATAATCAAATCCAAGTTCCTCCATAACAAGAATAAAGTAGTATCAAAAATTTTTAAAATTATTTGAGAAATGCTACACATTCTATAAAAAGTTTTGGGTGTACATATATCATATCATATTCATTAAACCATAAACATACACATGACAAAATTAAATTTTGTGCAGCTTTTGTGATTTGTGTATTTCTATAAAAGATCAAATGTACACACATTTAACTTCTGAAATTTAAAAAAAGGGTAAGATGAAGACAATAATGTCAACTTACTTCACTGTGCATACCCTTTGGTTTTTGGAACTTTGAATATAATAGTTTATGCAAAAGATAATCATTTTAGGAAGATAACGATTATGAGTGGTTATAAGGAGCAGATAATTTTAATTTGTGCTAATATGAAAAGTTAACGGTTTCTCGTTTTAGGTTGAGAACAATGAAATTTGGTTGTAAAGATTTGAACCAAAAGATCAATGGATGATATCTGTTGAGCTTTATGAGGTCAACATACTTATACTGCCTACCAGAAACTAAGTTCACATATGGAGTAATTCAAGAGGAGAAAAACAGTACATACCGAACATCAAGATATTTGAAATACTTTGTTGTAAGCAAATCAATCAAAGAATCAACTGAGGATGTATTACGAACCTGCATTACACGAAGTATTGTAAGAAAGAAAATATCAGGTATGCTAAGAAGGAAAATATGAGGTATGCTCATCGAAATAAAAGAGGTAAAAAGCTATCAGTCGCTCGTAATGCAATCTGAAAAAATGAATTGTGAAACCCTTAGAACTAAAAAAATACAAATGAAAAGGATGCAGTGATGAGACTTTACTCATACAAAAACTAAATTTAGTAATTGGAAAATCCCTTGCTAAGTTCATAATATTTTGGACTATTAGCAACTATGTATAATGATAAAGAAAGACCTATATGTAGTCAAAATCCTAGGCTCATTAGGACAGTAAGCTATACTCGGTTTTAAGGTGTAAACAGACCCCGAAGTATAACACCAAATGGAGAAAGAGCAGGTGAGAAACACTAGATCAAAATAAAAATGTTAGTTACACCTCCTATTCTTAATTTCTCATGTCATTATAATTGTATTTTCTTGCAATAAGCTACAACATGTTCCACAAGGTGTTGCTTATATCCTATATCGAGATCGTTCTTGTAACCAATTAGCTTTTACCTCGAAGGCATAGATTTTCTCAGACCCAAATTTCAGAGAGCCCTAATATGATTTCCAAATGGTACCTAAAAGCTTGTGGCTCTTATCCAGCATAGGCGAAGACCCAGCTCTATTTCAGTATTTACCAGGTAGAAGACCTCTTTTTTTGCTTTGCACTATTCCCAAATGGTATATGATATTGAATGAGCTACATTCTTTCCGTTAAAATAATTGTTGTTATGGTAATTTACCATCCAATTGACAGCGAGGCCGCCAGCGGAATAGTTCGCCAGTCGAGGAGCGTGGCGTTCGATGACAAACTGAATCCATCTGTTTTCTGATGATTTTGAACTTAATATCTGAATTATTCAGATCCTGAATAAAAACTTGATTAATTGCACTCAATCTGGATTAAAAGATTGATCCAAATTCAATAGCCGAAGGAAAAATCAACTCAAAGACAAGAACTTTACTGAATCCTGCGTGCAATTGATCAAAGAACCGACAGAAATAGAAAGCAAAACAAAATTGTTGATGCGTGCACCAAATCTAAACGTGCACACATCCAAAAAATAAACCCTAATTTCTTAATCAGAAATATAAATCTCAAGGAACTAATCACGGTGGCTCTGATACCAATTGTTAGACCTAAATCTGAGATCTAATCAATAAAATCATGTTTAATTCAAAGAGAATTAACATAACAATGAGCGAAAGCAATAACTGAATCCATATTGATTTTAGCACGGATCTGAATAGGGTTGATCTGTTGGACCCTAGAGGGGGGGTGATTAGGGTCAAGAGGCTCTAATATGCAATATAAATACAGCACAAGCAAAACACAAAAACAAAAATGCGATGAAAGTAAGAGAGATAGGGTTAGGAGTTCGTTATCCTTGACGCGCGATGTGTTAACGAGGTTCGGCCCTCTGGCCTACGTCCCCGCTCCCCACTCTCGAGGAGAAATCCACTACACACCCGGTTTGGAAGCCGGAACTTCGTCTACACAGCGATCTCTACAGATCTCTCTCACTACACAGTTTGATCTCAACAGATCACACCCTCACAGTAGATCTTACACAAGATCTCACCCTCACAGCAGAAGAAAAGATGCAAGAACCTCTCTTTACACAGCCCCTATAGCAAAGAGTAGGTTTACTGAAGCTGGGAAGTGAATCACACTTAAAACAGAGAGAAAAGCAGGATTTGAAAATTTTTCTCAGGAAACAGAAAGCTCTCTCTGGTTTTTGAAACGTTAGGGCTTGAGAAGAAGAAGCAGTCTGGGGGGTTTTTATAAAAGAGTTCAAACCAATTAAAAACAAAAACCCAATCTTCCTATTTAGAAAGATAATCTCCTTTTCAGGTTGTTACCTCAGACTGTGCCAAACACTATTAAGTGAAAGCACAACAGTCGAGGCAAACGACCGTTTTAAAAAAAGTCGCGGCTGACCACCGGACCGGTCGACCGCTTTCTGACATTCTTCAGAAAACAGGTTTTTAATCAACTTTAAATATTTGCAAAATATTTATTTGACCTCTGAAAATTCTGAAACTTTGTAAAATGTTTTTAATACTAAAAACAAACTGTTTGGAAATTTTTTTTTGCAGATAGGTCCTCATACTTGTGAAAAATAGTATTTTGTGAAAAACGCTTAAAAACCTAAGTATGAAATCGTGTGTGTGATTCCCAATAGCTTCAAGTAAAATCAGTAACTCTTTGCCTACATTCTAGCACTAGAGAGAAAAAACAAAAGAAAGCTAATATCCTCATATATAAAGAACAATACTTGAGCTTTGATATAGCTTGAATCGGATGAAGCTTTTAGTTGAATTTGTCGTTCTTGAAATAACGTTGCTTCATCTCTTGGCCTCCTCCTCCTTTGGATATCTTCGTTGTAGCGTATATTCCATCCATCCTCCGTTAATGGCACTAACGAGCTTGATAAATGAATTTACTACATTTTCACTTAATAAGCTATTAGTACCGATAATGGTGGTTGTAAAACATCATCAAAACATAAGGGCTAACATGATCTTCTAATCTGAAATGTGTCTCTTGAATATCTCTTTAGATGGGGATTAAAGAATAGAGAACGTAACTTTTAGATTAGGGACCATAACCCCTTTATATAGATTTATAATTTTCTAATTTAGCCCCTCATAAAATTAGAATTGCATTCTGGTATCTGTACAATTAGCCCATGATTTACTTAAACACCCATTAACCCAAATTGATTGATCACTTTATGTGGGTTAGCCTTAAAGATAGCATTATACACTAATGTAACATATATGGCCACGATTAGATTTAATCCAACACTTAATTGGTAAATTTCACGAAATCCCTGAATTTTGATAAGTTTCACTTTCACCTAACAAGTTTGGCATTGAAAATGCACCATTCACAGAGTTAAAACAACAAGACAGAATGTCAAAGATGCCCTTCAAATGAAAGAGGAGGATGAGAAATAAGGAAGTTGACAAATTGTAACTTATCTTGTGAGCAACAACGACAAGGTTCCGTTCATCACCCTCATAAATTCACATATATATGGAAATCAACGTTTGCACTCTAGATTATGATTTTTAGTTTCTAAAACCTTTTATACGTACTTCTTTCTGTTTTATAATATATTCGAATAGCGCAACTTTGCCCCATTTTTAACTTAAAAATATCTTGCGTGCAAGGGTAAAGACGAAATGTCTATTTGTGTTCATGCATGTACTAGCTCGGAATTAATCATAGCCACGTGGGCGGCCACACGTTAGCTCCCACATAAAACTAATGCAGAAAACACTCCATGATAATCTCGCGTATATATTTTAACTTTAAATACCAGCTAAGCTCCACAGAACTAGATAAGTAGAATCCAAAATATATATATCACGGATATTTACATAAACAAATGAGAAAATTCTACTATAAGTAGCCCCCCAATCTAGACCCAAAGACACAAGCAAATTAATTGCAACCTTTTTCTTTAGTTTTCTCCAACGTCTTCAATCGAAAGCCAAGATGGCTACGCTCGTCAAGGCGAAAGTAGTGATGGTGCCAGCGGATGCACTGTCGGAGGCAACGGACTACAGCGCTTCTCTCCTTGATGGGGTCCGGACCTTTTTACCCCAGGCGATCACTTTTCAGCTAGTTAGTGCAACTGTCGGTGACCCAAGTGAGCCCCCGGCCAATATATCTTTCTCTCCCCTCTTTTTAACTTTTTAACCAACAATCCGTTAAATAATAAATGGTTGTGACTAAGGAAAAGATCGAACGCCCTATCATCTACCGTGGAGAGAACTGAATTAACTACATAATGACTGATTTACACGGAACAAACAGTTTACCACTTTTCCCATAAAGACAATATATATATGGTTCACACTTCACAGGCTCTAAGCTATATATTGATCTTTTAATTAAGATTGAGCTTTGATAAGCAATTGATGATACTTCCACTTGTCCGGAACCTTTCATTAACTTAATGATCTTATTAGTAAAGACACATTTGCCTTATGTAAGAGAATAGCATCTAATTTGCTTTATTGTTACAATTATTTTTATTTTAAAATATTACGACTCTAATAGAATCAAATGAATCAAAGAGATTATATCTTTTAACCTTTTAAGTCTGTTTATTAATTAACTAAACTTGTTAAACTGCCAAATAGTTTTTGCCACGCGAGTGCATAAAGCCCCTCAATATTATATGATGGTCTGAGCTACCTTAAACATAGAGTAATTATACAGAAACCGTCTTTTATTTTCAGTTTATACATAAACCACCTTAAAAAGTTTGTTTTTATTACAATCAACCACATTTCAGTAAAATTCTTCACTTGAAACCTAAAATTACCCTTTAAAAGCTCGCGTTCAAGGTACATAACTTAATTTTTTTTTGTGTTTAGGTTTATTTAAGATATAACTCATATACCTTGAACTTATTTTTTTTTAGTGAAAATTTGATTAGGAGGTTGTTAATTGTAACAAAAACTTACTTTAAAGATTGTCTACGTATAAATTGAAAATAAAATATGGTTTTCGTATAATTACCCTGTTGTTAAAATGGTTTCTAGGAGAGAGAAAAAAACCCTTTTGCATGCTAAACATCTAAACTTGCAACAGACAATGGGGGCAAAGGAGTAATTGGAGAGCCAGCTTACTTAGAAGAGCTCATCCCAAGTCTACCATCAATAACGGCAGGAGAATATGCGTACGGGGTTACATTCAAGTGGGATGCAAGCCAAGGGATCTCTGGAGCAGTCATCGTCAAAAACAATCGCCAAGACAAGTTCCTTCTCAAGAGCTTGATCATTGAGGATTTTCCTGGAAAAGGCCACGTCCATTTTGATTGCAATTCCTGGGTGTACAGCGTTGACAAGTACTCATATGACAGGATTTTCTTCGCCAATGATGTAAGTGCATTACCCTTGCTAGCTGTCTCATCTAATTTTATTGCAACTATTAAGTTAGGGACTTACGTTTATTTAGTTTTATTTTAATTTACTTTTGAACCCATCGTCCCAAGCTGCTTTATTCCAATGTTTTTAAAAATCTAAAGGGTTATTTGCTCCTTGTTCAAAGGGATTAATATTCTCATGACAAGGGCGTCTCATGTGTTAACTTTTAAATTTTGGGGTATCATACTGTCAAAATAGAAGAAGTTAGTATCAAAATTCAAAAACGGGGTAGACTCATAGGGTTAAAAACTCAAATAATCCTAATCTATATAAGGTTTATTTTTCATTTTGGTATCCAAAGTTTATCCATTTTTTCACTTTGGCATCCATTTTTCACATTGCTGTCTCGAAGTTTCGGTCTAAACAACCAAACGTTCCCAGCAACCATGGATGGGGTATAATGTGTTTAAGGGCCAGTTTGGTTGACAAAATTATCATAAGTAAAAAAGCATATCAAAGAGGTAACTTCCAATTTTATGAGGTAGGAAATAAAGGAACTACAAGGTAACTTTTTTTATTTGTTGTACGAAAGTTTGGAGGTAACCAAACTAGTATTTCTTCCATTCTGTTCACTACGGTTGTTTGGATGACACTTATGAATATTGTTAGAAAGAGAAAAACGAACTTTTGGAATTTATTCCTAAGTTGAATCAGACTTCAGCTACCTTCGTGCCTAATGGAGCGAAAATAAATTTAAGGAACACGCAAGTCACATAGGTGCCAAGTTAGTATTCAACAAAGTATCAGAAACTGTTTTTTTTTATTTATAACCTAGTCTGAAATCAAACTCAATATCGGGAAGTTACACTGGAATCTCTTAACTATCCTAGTCGCTCGTAATGGGTTAAGAGTAGCTTCTTAAGATAAGTAAACAAGATTTTTTTTTCCAGAAGCAGTAAGAGTGAGAAGCGAGTGAAACTTTGGACCTGTTTGATTACCACTTTTTTGTGTTGGACTACCGTAGATGTTAGGTGCTACAGTATTTAGAACAAACAACTCTGTTTGGTTTGTTAACATGGGCACGGCAACAAAAAGCAAGGAGTTAGGACGCGTTTGGTTGCCTCTTTTAGAGGGGGAAATGAGTTGAAAGCATGTCAAAAGTGTCAGTTTTGACATGTTTTCTTACAAAAACGTCTTTAAAAAGAGACGTTTTTATAAGAAAGTCTGTTAAAACTGACATTTTTATCAGGCTTTCACCTTCCTCCTTATGCAAACAAACAGCCCCTTAGTCTCTTAGTGACCCTAGGAATGAAATTTTTTTTGGAAAAAATACTTGAGTTCAGAAGTGAAAAAGTGGGTGACGTTACCAAAGGTGAACTCCAAAAAAGTCCAAATTACCCCGTTCCCTAATTTTCTTTAAGCCGTCGCCACGCCTTCGATCTCCAATCGGCAGGCATCATCATCTCTCCCCCAAGGCCGTTGCTCAGTTGGTAAATGTGTTCGATGTCCCAACATCTCGTTTTCCCTTTCTCTGAACTAGGCTCAAAATTGTTGTTTTATGGAATTTCAAATTTCTGAAGATTAAAGTTTAATCATTCGTTGTGATCTATGGATATTAGGGATTTGATGATCCTGGTGTAGGATTAGATTGGCAATTTTAGGTTTGGTGATTTATTAGGTCGGAGAAGGAGACAGAAATGATATGGATATAGTTTTTTTTTTCCATTGGGTTATTTGCACTTAAATGCGCCAAATTTACCTCATCTTTAAGCTATTAGCCCACCACCAAAAAAAAAGACCCAGAGTTTAACAAATTTTAATTTTGATACTCCAAACTTAATTTTTTTAAAAAATTTGGGTTATCATAGTTAAATTATTGTTAAAGTTTGGGATATCAAAGTTAAATTTATTGGACTTTGTGATATTTGTTGGTCAAAAACACTTTGGGGTTATTAAAATTAAGATGGAGTAAACTTTCGGGTAACTAAGAGCATCTCCAACAGCTTCCCCATCTTCTTGAAATACTCAAATTTGGAGAATATAGAGCTTTTTTTTGGTCCAACAGATTCTCTATCTCATTCCCCAAAATAGGGAAGGAGGAGAAAAAATAGGGAGTCTTCCCCAAATCTGCAGCATTCTCCAAATTTTTGGGGAGAGCTTTATTATTGTAATAAATGCGATTTTTCAAAATGGGGAAGCTGTTGGAGTTGGAGCAAAAATAATTTGGAGAATATGACTTATTTCTCCATTTTGGAGAAAATTTTGGGGAAGCTGTTGGAGATGCTCTAAGCGCAAATAACCATTCTTTTACTTAAATACAAAGTTTTTTTTTAACAAAAAACGCCTTTAAAATAAGGTGAAAAAAATCATCTTTAAAGTTCAACTAATATAGAAACCATCTTTAAATAGGAGTTTTTGTTGCAATCAATGACCTGGACCTATTTTCTGGTAAAATTTTGATTGAAATCCTCAAAATGGCCTTGAGAAATACACCGAAAAATATGTCAACTTTGGTTATGCCATGTGCCTGGTATTTGTATTTTTAAGGGTATTTGGAGATTTCAATTGGAATTTCATTAAAAAATAGGTCAAGGTGGTTGATTGCAACTGGAAACTGTTTTAAAGGTGGTTTCTGTATAAGTTGAACTTTAAAGGTGTTTTTTGTATTTTCACCCTACTTTAAAAGTGGTTTTGTGAGGAAAAAAACCCCTAAATACCATGTATAAAACGCGGAATACAACAACTTGAGTTTGAAAATAAATGAGTTTTGAGTATTTGGGTCTTAAGTACTAATTCGGAACTAAGTGGGTTTAAAAATAAATCATGTAAAAGTTAATGAGGGTAGAACTTTCAGTTTACAACTTTACAAACCAGCAACCCTAAACACAATGCACATGAAATTAATCAAATGTTAGATAATGCCCAATTTTATCTCTCTAAAAACTAATAGCACAAGAAGTATACTGTCAACATGGAACAGGAAGAGGTTATTGGTATTGAAAGTACAAGATATTTTTCCACCTAACCTCATTCCCAGGAATGTCATATTGATTCCTAGCATTGATGTTAAGTTAATAGTAACTTCATCAAATTTTTAAGAGAAGTAATTTCGTCAAAGTACAACATGCACTTGCTATGATTGAGGAAGTGTTCTCTCTACTATCAGACCACGATGAAAAGAATTTATTCTCCATCATCAACTTATTACCATGGTAAAAGACTGATAAGGTGATATGAATTAAATCTGGGAAGTAGAAACTGTCCAGCAATTCATTTGTTTGTGTCATCTCCTAAAATTTGTACTGATATAAGTACGAATTCATTTCAGACATATCTTCCAGAAAATACACCAGAACCTTTGAAACCATACAGGCAAGAGGAGCTCCTACATCTCAGAGGCGACGATGTTAACCGTCAAATGGAGGAGTGGGATCGTATCTACAACTATGCATGTTATAACGATCTTGGAAATCCAGACAAAAAAGCATCCCTTGCTCGCCCCGTTCTTGGTGGCTCTGAAGAGTACCCTTACCCTCGTAGGGGACGCACTGGACGTCCTCCCGCTAATTCTGGTAATACTAATTAAGTACTTATCATTGGGTGAATCGGGCATAACCCCCTCATCTATGCCTTCAGTTGCATAAACACACTTCAATTCATTTACTAGCACTTAGCACCACTGAAATGCCATTTTTTGATAGATAAATGGCAAGTAAAACTCCTCTTCTTCAAACATTTAGAGGGGGTGGGGGCTAAGTGCTAGTAAATGATTTGAGGGGGTTTTGTGCAACTGGAAGTATAGATGTGGAAGGTTATTTGCAATTTACCCTATCTTCTTCTATTTGCATTTTTTTTTTTTTTGCGACAATAGGTATATGTCATCTATCTTATATATGTCCAGATCCCAATAGTGAAAGTAGATTGGGGAATGAAGATTTCTATGTACCTCGAGATGAGAGATTTGGTCACCTCAAGCAGAGTGATTTTCGTGATAACCTCATAAAGGCATTAGTGAAGTCCTTGATTCCGTTGCTCAATGCCATAATCAATGGGACGCCTAATGAGTTCGACTCTTTTGAAGACATATTGAGAATGTTTGAAGGTGGTCTGCCGGTGCCTGATGTCCCTCTTGTTGATGAGGTCAGAGAAGGCATTAAGTCGGAGCTTCTTAAAAGTATAGTTGGTCCTGATCAGGGTGGAAAAAGATTGATCAAGTTCTCTAAGCCTCATGTCATTCAAGGTTCTATTCTTTATCACTTTTGTCCTTCTTCTTCGTATAATACACAGCACATATATGCATAGATAGGTCTTTAAAAATATGGTGATCAAGATGGTAGGACCAGATCATTCAAATTCATAACGTACGCATCATTTAGTTTGATGTGCATCACTAGCTCAATATTATCAACCTTCGCATACTTTGGTTTATTGCCGGAAGGCTAAAAATGGTCCTAGTTCAACTCAGAATTAGCAAAACATTAAAGGGACACTGCATAAATGAAATCCACAAAACTCATATAACTAATTTTGAGATTAGTTTCAAAATTAGTTGTTGCACATCCAATCGGCTAGCTTAGATGGGTGGTATAAAGTATATAAACTGGGGAAGAACGATTGAATATGATGATCTAGCGTATCATGTTCTAGTGTTGTTGGTGACTTCCACCGACTCTAATTGATCCACTGAGTTAACAGAGAGATTTGCCTGATTTAGCTCTAATTAAAAATGCTTTTCTAATGACATTTTTCATGTTGATTTCTATGTTTTAGCTGATCCTCATGCTTGGGACACGGATGAGGAGTTCGCGCGTGAAATGCTGGCTGGAGTAAACCCTGTCATCATTAGTAGACTCCAGGTAATCTAATTGCTTCTCTGCAGTTCTATGCTCTGTGCAGAGCTAATGAAGATCATAAACACAAAAGACCTATAATCTTCTTTGTTGTGTGCAGGAATTTCCTCCAAGTAGCAAACTAGATCCTACAGAGTATGGCAACCAGAACAGCTCAATAACAGCTGCACACATTGAGCATAACCTTGAAGGGCTCACAGTTGAGCAAGTAAGGGTCATTCTTTGAAAATGCATTAAAATATGTTTGGTTTATGTGTCTCCCGCGAAACATGATAACTTTTCCAACTATATAATCAAAATTACTGAAAAAATAGTTATAACGGTTTGGATATTGTTTTCATAGTATTTACAGCAAACACTAATTAATAACTGTTTAGATATTATTGGACACATTCTACTATATATACTTGTAACTACGCTCATTTTGAGTATCACTGTAACTACATGTTTCGCACTCTAAAGCATAATCGTAATTATAACTGCAAAAATATCAATCAAATAAATGTTCTTGATTTGTGCTGCAATTGGCAATATGTGCTTCCAACAGCATACAACCAAACATCCCAAAATTTCTAAACGCAGATTGATAAAACAATAGCAATCATAATTTTGTTACCAATTGGTCTTTTCAGGCGTTGAGCTTCAGTAAGCTCTTCATATTGGACCATCATGATGCCATAATGCCATATGTGAACCGGATAAATTCCAACACCAACAACAGGATATATGCCACAAGAACTCTGCTCTTCTTGAAAGATGATGGCGCTTTGAAGCCATTGGCCATTGAGCTCAGCTTGCCACACCCTGACGGTGAAAAATGTGGTGCTGTGAGTAAAGTCTTCACACCTTCTCAAGCTGGTGTTGAGGCTTCGATTTGGCGGTTGGCCAAAGCCTATGTTGCTGTTAATGACTCTGGTGTTCATCAGCTCATCAGCCATTGGTACAGTAAATCATTCTGCTAAATATAAAAATATATTACTCAATTCTGATCATAACTTCAGAAATTTGATGCAATAAATGAAGTTTAAGTATGGGTATAAAAAGAAATAGATGCCCTATGATATATTTATATGCATTTGTATCTTGTAGATTTGAATATAGATCCAATATTAAGCATCTACATATAGTATAATTATGATACTTAAATGTCTTTTTTGTAGGATAGAGATAAACATACGAATAAAATTGTTCGATTATAAAATTTTAACCCTCGATTATAAAATTTTAACCCTCATCACTCACCACAACTTTGGAGTTTTGATGCAGTGAAAGGGACCTTGAACATGATATCAGAAGCAAAAAAAATCAAGATTTAAAGCCTACAGACCATGAATTAAAAGTGAATTTAAAAGATAATTAGGCAATGTTGTTTGAGTCAGGTTCGGCCCATGAAAAGGGCACTTAATATATGGAGGCATGTTAAAGTATAAATTATAAGCCTCAACCTTCAGAACAACTTCCGCTAACATAAGTAAAATATTTAGATATTATCCAAAAATCCAAATATAGGTATCAATTAGGTGGTTGAACTCATTTTGATTTTTTTAGGTAATGAAGTTATTTCGTTTTCTTTTGGCGACCCTGAGATCTAATAAATGGTTTTTAGATATGTAGAAAATATGGACTGATTTTAGAAATTTTTTATTCAAATGGCACTTGTATTGCGTAACCTATATAGTTTTCAATCTTACAAGTTCTCCTCATGGCCGCTTTACATTCATATTTGTTTCCTTTAATCCGTTCGGTATCTGTATTAAATTTTGATTGATGGATTATGAGTTTTCCTTAATTAAACATGTTCTTGTTACTATCTGACTAACTGTATTTATTGATTAGTAAGTTGATACGGATATGATAAGCATCATCTCGAACTCATCAGATCCGTTTGCAAGCCTTTAATTTAGGGCACTTTGATATGTGTAATTCATGTTGTGATATCAAAATGCAGGCTTCTCACTCATGCATCGATCGAGCCATTTGTTATCGCAACAAATCGTCATCTCAGTGCAATGCATCCGATCAACAAGCTCCTTGTGCCGCATTACCGTGACACAATGAACATCAACGCTTTGGCGCGCAAGAGCCTCATTAGTGCCGATGGCATCATTGAGAAGACTTTCTTTCCGGTGAATTACTCTATGGAGATCTCGTCGGTGATTTACAAGAGTTGGAATTTCGTGGAGCAAGCCCTCCCTGCTGATCTCCTCAAAAGGTATAGTAATTCTTATTGTAGTTACTGTTTTATAATTGAGTGCTGTTACGGGGACCCAAAATATGGGACCAAGGGAGGGGACAGTTGAGGTGTCCCCTCCCTATTGCATAATGAGTTGGCATGAGTTGGCATGACCAACTCATTATGCAATAGGGAGGGGACACCTCACTTGTTCCCTCCATTGGTCTCATATTTTGGGTCCTTAAATCATTTTTCTTTATAATTACTAAGCCAACTATTTTGGCATGCTTCCACGAAATTCAAGAGAAAAACATGTACATTTATTAAGCTTCAAATAGTTTCATCTTAATGAAAAATTCCTTAAGGACCCAAAATATGGGACCAATAGGGGGGACAAATGAGGTGTCCCCCTCCTATTGGATAATGAGTCGGCCATCATTAATGATGGCCAACTCATTATCCAATAGGAGGGGGACACCTCACTTGTCTCACCTATTGGTCCCATATTTTGGGTCCCTGTAGCAAAACTCCATTTTAATATGGGATTTTAAGGATAAACTACAGATAATCTCCTTCATTTATAGTTTCAATAACATTTGTCTTCTCCCCATTTATTTGTTATAACAATTATTATCCTTGGACTGCCAATTTGAGAAGGGTAAATTGCAAATAACTCTATTTCCCACGTGTCAATTTCGTTGAAACTCATTTTGCAAGAAAAAGAGGCATTTTACAGCTGCAGTTTCAGAGGGAAACAGATAATTGTAACAACCCTCTAATGTCAATTAAGGGTAATAAAAATTCTATAAGAACAGCCCACTTGTATGCGGACTCTGCTCTTAGCCATTCTTACAAGGCGGGAAGCAGTTTGGAGCTTTCCTTTCTACTGCCAATGGTTAAGAGAGATAATTTTATATTCTAACAGATATTTCTCTTTTTTTCCCCTACAGAGGCATAGTCGTTGAGGACTCAACACAACCGAACAACCTCCGCCTATTGATCTCTGACTACCCCTACGCCGTCGATGGCCTCAAAATCTGGTCAGCAATCGAGACATGGGTCACCAACTACATCTCTATTTACTACCCCACCGACTCAACCGTCCAATCTGACGTCGAGCTCCAGTCCTGGTGGGCCGAAATCCAACAAGTTGGCCACGGGGATCATAAAAACGCCCCCTGGTGGCCCAAAATGCAAACCCAAACTGATCTAATCCAATCTTGCACCACAATCATCTGGGTCTCCTCCGCCCTTCATGCCGCCGTCAACTTCGGCCAATACCCTTTCGCCGGCTACGTCCCGAATCGACCAACTCTCAGTCGCAAGTTCATGCCCGAACCTGGTTCAGTCGACTATGAACGGCTGAAGACAAACCCAGACAAGGTTTTTCTAGAGACCATCACGAGGGAGTTGCAGAGCATAATTGAGATTGCGTTGATTGAGATATTGTCGACGCATGCTTCGGATGAGATTTATCTCGGGCAAAGGGACTCGGTCGAGTGGACCGAGGATCAGAAGGCATTGGAAGCGTTTAAGAGGTTTGGGGAGAAGTTGAGTGAGATTGAGGGGGAGATTGTGAAGATGAATGAAGATCCGAGGTATGTGAACCGCAGAGGGCCCGTCGATATGCCGTACAGTTTGCTGGTTCCGAGTAGCGAAGCTGGGCTCACTGCTAAAGGGATTCCCAATAGCATTTCGATCTGAGAAGATCCAATCCTTTTGAATGTGTTTATTGGCGCCTGCTGCTGTTGTTGGTGTGTGTGGTGCTGTTTGCTTTCTAGTATCGTGTGGTCTTTGGAAGTAGTAAAGAATAATTTTGAAATAAATGTGGGGTTGCTTTCTGCAACTGAATCCACAAATGTCTCTTCAGTTTTTCTTTTTCCCTTTCCTTTTATTTTTCCATTTTATTTTTATTTTATTTTTTTTTCGGGTGGATGGATAAATTAATATGAGGTTACAGCGACAGCGGCATACTTTGAGCATTCAATCCATTAATAAACGGTGAACCTAATAATGGTATAAATAATCATGATTCCGTAGTGAGATACGCATATTTCCTTCTAAGCTAATGCAAGTAAAGAAATTGATGCGTCGGACTTTATTGTACCGTCCAAACGAATAGAGGCTAGAGCTGTTCGTCTCCGTGCTTTAGGTAGAAAGTAATTTATTTTTGTTAATTAGGTAGAAAGTAATTTATTTTTGTTAATTAGGTAGAAAGTAATTTGACTAGGCATCATATTTCACAAAGAAACAAATCATCACAGGTGCATTTTGTGCAACAAAATGTTTTTCTCAGATTCCCATTACCTACTTTGGGCTTAGAGCGATGAACTTAATTCCTCGACCACCACATATACTCTTTATTTTATGTATTACTTTATTTGATGGGAAATGGGATTCAGATGTGTTAGAGAGATGTGTATGGTTTATTTGTTTCCTTTATCCAACAAAATTTCCTGGTTTTCTTTATGATTTTAGCAAAAAAAAAACAAAAACCCCAATCATAAATGGAGACCTTTGGCAACTGTGACGTTTTTGTCGTTTCTGTTTTTTTTTCAAAAAAAAACAATGAAACACGTTTGGCAACCGGGACGTTTTTTTGACTTAATCCTTTACAAAATCCAAAAATTAAGCATTTTTATCAAAACACCAAAAAGGTGTTTTGAGATTCCGTTTTTTCTTTAAACATCATGACGTAGTGTTTTTCTACAAAAACACAACAAAAAAATCACCTTGATTACCAAACACACCAGATTATCTTCTCTTCATATAGTCCAACACAAGAAATATTTTCTTCACGATTTATCTAAAAGTAACTAATCCCTTTACCTTCTTCTACTAGTAATATTATATAGGGTAAATTACACATAATTCGTGAACTCTGAGGGGTTTGCGTAGAACTTCTACGAACTTTATAAATTCCATAAAACGCCATTTACTTTATTGAGTTTCACAAAACTCCCTGAACTTTGAAAATTTATTAGTTGACTTGAAAGGTAAAACCAGCATACAAAAAAAAAAGAGCAGAGATAAAAGTAAGGGTATTTGTAGATTTTGTTTTGGTGACCAAAACCAAAAATGTCCGTGTTTAAAATTTGTAATTAACAGAGTTGAAGGATAAGTCTCCCTTAACATTGAAATTTTTTCAGTAACTCAGTTAAAGGGGTAAGGACAATTGTCTACTCTTCTTTCCAGGAGGAGGCACAAAAGATAGGTTTTTTTTCTCCTAGAAACCACATTAACAATAGAGTAATTATGCAGATATCACCTTTTATTTTTAATTTATATATAAACTAACTTAAAATTTGGCTTTTGTTGCAATCAACCACATCCTAGTCAAATTTAACTAAAAAACAAAAAATATGCTTAAAAAATTCAAGTTCAAGGTATGTGAATTGTATTCTAACAAGACTTAAACACTAAAAAATGAGACATGTACATTAAATGCTAGTTTTTAACGGTAATTTTGGGTTTTAAGTGAAGAATAGGATTGAGAGGTGGTTGATTGCAATAAAAACCAACTTTAAAGGTGATTTATGTATAAATTAAAAATAAAATATGGTTTCTGTATAATTACCATATTTTTTAGGTGGTTTGTAGGGGGGAAACCCCCTAAAAGATAAGGGGTATTGATGTGAACGCACGTGAAGTTAAAGGCTTGTGAACATCAGCAAACCGCGTGGGAGGATATTGCCCAACGGATGTTTTTCGTGTGGGAGGCTATTGCCCAGCTAATGTTTGCTAAGATCCAGTAGGTTTCAAGCGGCTAAGATCCAGTAGGTTTCAAGCATGTGGGAGGCTAAGAACCAATGGACGAATGCGTGAAGAGATAGGATTGTATCTCTTTTCCGCTGGACAAAGCAGGCTCACCCGATATCATCAGCTATAGCCTATATATATAGCTTGATTCCTAGGTTTTCGTTGGGCGTGCAAGTGAGTGCAGGAGGAGGAAAAGGTGCAGAGGCTGCGGGAGAAAATCACGGCTTCGTGAAGGAAAAACTGTTGTCCTTTTTGAGAAGAAACGCAGAGAAGCAGCCGCTGTGCAAGGGTTTTGTGCATCCTCTTTTGAGAGAGATATTTGTGTGAGAGGTTTGAGAGATTTGTGAGGGTTTAGATTGAGTGATTGTAAATCCTAGTTGTATTCTCTCCTCTCTAATAGTAGATCTCCCCCCTCATTGCCCCGTGGACGTAGTCAATTTGCCGAACCACATAAAACTGGTTTGTTTGTGTTTGTGACCATTGTAATAGTTTTTAGGATCCCTCGACAAGTCAGTCCTAGAACTGATGAGAGGAAGAGCCGATATCTCCCTTTGTTGAGATATTCGCTTCAGATTCTTGTTTCCTTGGTGAGACGAGAATTCTTATTGGGATCTTTCTCTCTTATTGTGCACAAGAAACTCTGCCGAAATTTCCGCTGCGCACAACAAGTGGTATCAGAGCTCGGGCTACGCTTGGGCTATTTGGAGGAGTAGATTAATTTGGAGGTTCGTCTAGGGCTTTGTTTGGTGATAAAGGTGGGATCTTTTGGTAAAGACTATCTTTTTAGTTTTGGATCTATTCTTCGTTCGTTGGTGCGTTGAGAAAGATGTCGGGAAAAAAGGTGCTTCGGGTGTCGAGGGTGGTGCTTCTGGCGCGAAGACCATTCAGAGTTTGAATATCCACTCTATGAAGATAGATGTGGAGAAATTTAATGGCACAAACAACTTTGGATTATGGAGATGCGAGGTTTTGGATGCGCTGAACACGCAGAATTTAGAGGATACCTTGAAGTTAGATGACAATCCAAATGAGATTGAAGAGAATGTTTAGAAGAAAATGAATCGAACGGCGTGTGGTGTGATTAGATCTTGTTTGACTCAAGATCTAAAATATGATGTGATGAATAAGACTTCTGCGAAGAAGATTTGAGAGATTCTCGAAAGCAAGTATTTGACCAAGAGTGTGGAAAATCGCTTGTATTTGAAGAGAAGGCTTTATCGTTTCCAATTAAAGAAGGCAACCTCAATTAGAGGTCACATGAACACCTACACAAAGCTTCTTGCGGATTTGGCGAATGTGGATGTCATGATTGAAGATGAGGACAAGGCATTGCTGTTGTTGAGTTTCTTGGCCGATGAGGAATATGAGACATTCATCCTTACTTTGATTAATGGGAAGACATCTCTCTCGTATAGTGAGGTCATTGCTGTACTGGTAAATTATCAGCTTCGGAAGAAGGATAAGGAGACTTCGACTGAGTCGGTAGCAGAGGCGTTGGTCGCAAGAGGGAAGAATCCGAACCGAAAGAATTGAAGTTACAGTCTAGAGTAGGAAAAGATCAGTGTGCTTGGTATAAGGAGACTGGTCATTGGAAGAAAGACTGCCCAAAACTCGACGAATGGATGAAGAATAAGCAGAAGGGAAAAGGGAAGCAACCATCATCAGAAGCAAACATCGTATCGGATGGTAATATTTCTGACTCTTCTATTTATTCGCTTTCTATCAGTCCTATAGATAGCTATTCGGAGGAATCTGAATGGATGTTGGATAGTGGTGCGACCTATCATGTGTGCCCTAGAAGGGAATGGTTCTCCAGTTTTGAGAAGCTGGTGGATAGTGGTGTGGTGTACATGGCTGATAATCATGCATGCCAGATCTTTGGGATAGGAAGAATTCGCATCAAAATGTTTGACGGGACTGTTAGGGAGTTAAATGATGTGAGATATGTTCCTTCTTTGAGAAAAAACTTGATCTCGATTGGAGCTTTGGTTGGAGAGGGTCTGAATATTCGAATTGAGGACATAGTTCTCAAGATTGTGAAAGACTCTCAGATTGTGATGAAGGGCGTCAGGAGGAATAACCTGTATTACTTGACTGGAGGTATAGTGACAGGTGGAGAACTGGCGACTTCTATTGATTCGACTAGACTGCGGTATTTGGGGCTTGGTCATTTCAATATTGATTCCTCACATAGATTGAAAGATGGTGTGAAGACCTGCAGTTTGAAGTCCAGTGAACATATTGATGTGAGCAAGAAGACCGATGTGAAGTTTGACACCTCTATTCACCGTGCTAAGGGTCGTTCTGGAGGTGTTCACGTGGATGTTTTGGGGCCTTCCAAGGGGACATCATTGGGAGGTAATAGGCGTTTGGTTTCCTTTGTTGGTGGCTGTTCTAGGAGTGTTTGGGTTACAACCAAATCCCCATTGGAGAAAGTCCTAGTAGTCTCTAACAGTTTAAAGAAGTGTAAGATGGACAGAAAGATGAAGGTACTTCATTCTGATTTTGTTGGGGGGGTACAAGATGGACATATTTCTGTATTGGAGCCGAGCTCACGGCATTTCGAGATACTTCGTTGGAAAGGAAATCTTGGGGTAACTAGATAGGGTGGCAAATTTGGAGAATCGTGCCATGCTGGAGGAGGATCGGTGTTTGTGGTCGAGCAATGGTTTGCAAAAGAGGTTCTGGACTAAGGCTTCGACATATTTGAGTCATCATATTAAAGAGTTGTTAACTGCTGTGATTGGAGGTAAAACTCCATTGGAAGATAGGTCTGGTTGTGTCACTTTGGTTGAGGTTTCGATGAGGGAGCTATTTGACTCTTAGCATGTGGAGAGTTTTGGACAGACCTTAGTTGTATCGCAGCAGGTGGAGATTGATGCTACTTCACATTGGATGGAGATTACTTCACATACTCCAGATCATACTGTATCATTTGGGATTCCAGCTGAGATGACACAGTTAATGGATCAATTTGTTTTGGATGCAGATGATGAGTTGGGTTTTGATTCGAGTGCAGCTGATAGATGTAGTTTGGATATGACCATTGGTTCACCTCAGGTGGAGGTGTTTGAGGCCATTGGAGGTACTATCAGCCGTAGAGTTGATGA